CAGTGGAGCAGAATGCTCTAGCTGAACTATCAGCTAATGAGTATTGATTAAAGTAGATGGACATAAATTATTTCCTTGCTTATTTTCTCCCTATAATTTCTTGCAAATCTGAAGTTCTAATCACTTTAAATATCTCTAAATGAATAGGAAGTAAGACAGATACATATGTACAGGTTAACGAGTTAATGATTGCCCTTTCCCTGTGACATGAATATTTCCCCATTTAACAGGCCTTCCCAGCTCTGTTACGGCTTTCAGTAGAATATCAGTCCTGGGCAATGCCTTCTTACTAGGTTTTCACTGTCTTCTCTGCACTAGAAATTGCTTCAGCAAAGCTAAGGACGCTCTTCTGTTTTATTCAACCATGCATACCATGTACAAGGAGAGTGAGTGACACATACTAGATACTCCACATTTCGCCTTTCCTAATCAACCATTTTTTTTCCACATTTGGTAGGATAAAGGATGTATAATGTTCTTGGAAATATTTTAATTACACTTATTTGTATCTTTTTCTCTGTTTTCATATACACTTACAGGTACAGACTGTTATTCTCTATACTCTAGGACCTGTCCAAATGAATTTCTGTGTGTTTCTGGGTTCCTAGATAACCATATAGATAAGTTAAAGTGATGCATAGCATGGTATCTTTGCTAACTGGGTTGAGAAACTTCACAGAAAAGGGGTGACCAACTCAACTGTAGCCTCTGGCAGTTTTAAATGCAGACTATTTTGTCTTTGGACTTTAAATTTTTATCTTTTCCTTATTTGTTTACTTTTAGGGCAATGTCCTTTACAAGCTCATTTATGTAGATCCATCATTTTTCACTGTGAATGCAAGATGCCCAGAGACCAGTGCAACACAGGAAGCCATGCAAAACCTAGCTTTCATGTTTTAGAAGAAATCTCCCAAACAATCAACTTTTATTTTAAACAAAAAAATCCTTAAACTAAAAAGGTGAAATATAAAAGCTTATTGACACCACTTAAAATATATTCTGGCCTATATCAAAGCTACTTGAGTAAGCACGATATCTTTTAGTTGGAAAAATCTGTCTTATACATTAGTATATTGGTATGTGACAAAATCCATTCAGTTATCTAATTTACAATTTGACTTGTAATACAGTATTATGTTTTCATAAATTATTGTAACTCTTGTGATTTGAACTCTATTTAGCTGGATCAGTTTAACAGAGCATATGAAGTAGGTCCAGTGTTCAAACCATTAGAGGCAGGCCAGCAATTTCTGTTTCTGTCATCCTAGTTTCCCTATACTGTATAGGGAATTAATCAATAAAATAAATACAAAAGGCTCACCTCTAAACTGAGTATCTTTAAGTAACCCAATAAATCAAGTTTGCACTCAGAAGGTTGTGCAATAGTAAGCTCTCAAATGCCTCTGCCATTCTAAAGGGTTTGGATTCCATGAAACACCCATAGGCAAGGAATTGCTCATCAGTACTAATATTTTAAGAAATGATTTAGAATTGTGAGCCAGCCTGTATATTGTAGTTAAATGTGATATTATGTATATATATATATATATGTGTGTGTGTGTGTATCCTGATAAGCAATTCATGACCAATGTATAGCAATTCTTTCTCATTTTAAGTCATGCTCATTTTATTCTATAAGATGAAAGGCATTACATACTTACCAATTGGTACTATTCTCAATAATTGCGATACTTCTCGACTTTTGTATGTAGCAATTTCTGTACTCAGAGTGAAAATTACATTTCTTCTTTGCCTTTTAAAGATTTTTCTGTTCAGAGATTTCTCATGCTTTTTAAATACCCCAATATCATGTATTTATCTTTTTCTTTAAAACACTCTTATATTTGTAAGTTGTCACTTTGGGATTTCATCATGGAATGTTTTCATTAAAATATTGTTTTTAAGCAACTTAAGAATGATGAGTGTTCTGTAGTGAAAATATGTTCTATCCTCAGAAAATTAATTTAGACATAATAGGAACTCAGAAATTATTTACTGAATTAAACTCCTTCCGTGCCATTAATTTCTGAGTATGTGGGTGACTTTTAGTGCATGGTTACAATATCTCACAGATACAATATAATTAATGTAGAAAAAGAGATATTCATTACATAACATTTTATCCATTATATTGCCTTTTTAAGTAGTGCATATGCATATGTAACTAATCTCAGGTAAGAAGATAAATGTCCTGAATGCGCTTTCTTGGAGATGGTTGTTACTAAGAGAAACATTTTCTCAATGAATGATCTTAAATACAACATGAATCACTCATCACTACCAAATGAGTGTCTAAGAAGCTAAGAACCTTATAACCTACTTTGTGAATCTTTTTGTTGCTGGAGAGTCTTCTTTCCAGTCTGGTACTGACACCCTTAGCAGTCCCAAGGAAATTTGTGGACACTATATTAAGCATTAAATTATGGCTAGCATTTCTTATTTGCTAGCTCTGTCTTAATTATTAACCCATTTCTATTAACCTATGTATTTCCACATAGTCTTGTCTTACAGGAGAATGCCCAGACCTATTTCTCCTTTGGCAGCTCCTGTGGCACCTCTCTCCCAGTCTTCTCTTCATCTCCTGCCTATCTCCACCTATCTTCCTGCCTCTATTGTCCATTGGCCAAACAGTGTAATATTTATTAACCAATAAGAGAAACACATATACAGAAGGACATCCCCCATCATCTTATATCACTTTATTTATTGTTATAACATGTCACCAACTCCAGTGAGTCAGACTATGACATAAATCAATAATTACCACTCTTTGTATCAATTTCTTGTTTATAAATTGTTTTTAATGTCATTAATCTTGTATTCAGGATTTCCTACATTTTTTACTATACTTTCCATAAATCCATGATCCCTGGAATATATAGATATCTTCTGACTAAAAAGATTTTCATAGTGGATTGTTCTTCAAGTATTTGATACCAATTGGTTTAGAGGTATACGATGCCAAAATTTTCCTCAAGCATCAATCTGTACAGACTGATTACATTTGCATTCTAAACTGGACTTCATACATTGGTCCATTCGTCAAATACAGAATAAAATCTAAGTAACCCATAATGTACCAAGTCATAAGGTTGTAGCTGAGATTTTAAAAAAGGGTGCTTTCCCAAAAGAGAGTGAGAAAATATTTTGTTGAAAAGATCAGGGATGGCTCCAAGAATATTACATTTGAGTAGAAAATAGACTGAACTTAGGAAGTAAGTAGAGTCCTGGAAAGGAAGTGTCCAGCCAATGGTAATGTAAATTGTAGGTCTTATTAGACTCAATTTGGCATATTGGTAAAACTGAAGAGTCAGTGTGGGACTAGTTGGGTGTAGTGGTCATAGAGGAGAATGTTAAAGGGCCCTGGGTAGTTCAGTTCTATGAGTACACACACAAGACACTGATGTGAGAAACTGTCTTAGTTTGGCATTTTACTGCTGTGTAGAGACACCATGATCATGGTGACTCGACACTTTTTCAAAAACAAAACATAATTCCTTATTGATTCTTTGGAAATTTCCCATCATGCACCCCATGCTGCTCACCACCCAGTAACTCCATATCTTCCCCTTACACCTGCCGTATACCCCCCAAATTAATTGAAAACAAAACAACCCCCCCAAAAGTCCACCTTGTTCCTGCATCTGTCCAACATCTCCTCATTTCCCTAGTGGCTTCAGGACCTGTGGTGTGTTACACAGGGCATGAAAGGGACTTGTTCTTCACAACTATAACTGCAGAAGCTCCATGACTTGGGACAAGAATATGATTTCCGAGAGGAGTTTTGATGAGAGTCCACTGGTGATGGTGTGATAAAAACCAGAGGCTTTTAACTACATCTCAGGGAAAACATTTAATTGTGGCAGCTTGTTTGCAATTTCAGTTCACTATCATCATAGCCAGGAGCACGTTGGCATGCAGGCAGACATGGTATGGAGGAATAGCTGAGAGTCCTACATCTTGGAGGCAGCAGGAAGTCAATTGACACACTGGGCAGTATCCTGACCACAAGAAACCTCAAAGCACACCTCACAGTGACATACTTCCTCCAAACAAGGCCATACATATTGCAACAAAACCATACCTCCTAATAGTGCCACTTCCAATGAGATTATGGGGGCCAATTTCACTCAAACTACCACAGAAATAAAGGATATGTCCAATAATTTTAGCTTAAGAAACTATTCAATAAAAGGCTTCTTACTAATGTAAGGAACACTGTGTAAGGACATTGTTGAAGCCAGGAGTATAATTTGGAGCACAATACATTAGAGATGCTCTGGAATTGAAATGAATATAACAGTGACCAGGCAACAACATTATAGGGCCAGTTCTATGAGAGAAGAGTAGCTATCACACCGCAGGTGAAAACAATATTTGGAAGCTAGAGCGATGGCTTGGTTGTCAAGAGAACTCACTCCTCCTGCAAAATAATGGAGTTCTGTTTCTCAGCACTCACATAGTCGCTCAGAAAAGTCTGAAACTCCAGTTCCGGAGGGTTTAAAATCTTCTGCCTCCACAGGCACCAGGAATTCACATGGCATGCAAATATACATATTGTAAAATAGTCATACACAAAAAATAACTAAATAAAAATGAAAACAATCTACAGGGTATCAATACCCTAGTAAATAATATAGTATCAAACTAATATAAAAATAGCTTTATATATTAAAAGTAACTTAGAAGAGGGTGTGATATTTTTGATCTGATTTAAAGTATGAAGATATCATTCTCTGGTTTCTCTTCAGAAAGTATAAATCTTTCGCCTTTTAAAGTATGAAGATCTTTATGATTTCCAGCCAACCATTTTAATCCTATGAGTACATAAAATCAGAAAAGCATCCTAGAGAGTAATTCAAAGAGATGCAAAATCAGAGTCAAGAGAATTTGGAAGCTATGCAACAAAGTCAGTTCTGATTGGCTGAGAAGATAAGCCAGGAAGCAATAAACAACAGCTATGTAAAAACCAGCAAAGGAACAGGAACATTTGCTCTGACCTGACCAGCAGCTTCGGTGAGTCAGTTACTGGGGCCTCCCCTTCAAAGACTGGGCTGCCACAGTTTCCACCACTCTTCAGATTTCAGCTTGGTAGTATCAAGAACATGAGAACCACATGGGCTGACAATGCTTTCAGGTGGAATCAGTCGAGCCAACCAAACATGGGATGGGCTGTGGGTGGTGCTGGTGATTGTTTATTTGCTTTGGTTTTATACTAAAAGCTCTGTTTGCTTTGATTTGTTATAAAGTAATAGGAAAGAAATCACAATAGAAGTGGCTCCTTTTACCTCAGACTTAAATACGATTTGGCACCACACAATCAATTTATTCTGAGAGGAGATTTAAGTTTGAGATGTATTTTGTTTAGACTTTTATCGTTTGTTGCTATTGTTGTTGAGATTTGTTTGTTTTCATTAAGAAGCACATGAAGACACAACACAGTCCAGCTCTGATTACAGGACCTTGAAGATACAGTTTCATACAAACAGAACCATAAGTAAGGTCAGTCAAATTTAGAGGATCTGGAGTATAAAATATAAGTATCACTGAAAAGTCAAATCTGAACTTGACACATTGCATTGCTTTCAAGGTAATAATGTTGGACAATCAATAGCACAGGAAACAAGTGCAGACAATGAGAACATTAAGTTTCAGCTGGGAGAGCTCACACCCATTGCTGGTAGGAAGCAAGTGGTAGAGGCATATGGGATGACAGCCAGAAGGTATCTTCTTGCTTATCCTCACCATTTAATCATCTGCCTGGAGGAACTGAAAACTTACATCCACACAAAATCTATACATGAATATCCCCTCTGTAGATAGGTGGGTAAATAAACAGTGGTACAGCCTGGCTCAACCCATTTGCAATTCCCAGTTCCAGGTGATTGGACACATTCTTTTGACCCTCCCTCTGGGTACTAGGAACACAACTGATGCAAAGATGTATATGCATGTAAGACACCTATATATTTAAAGAGAGAGGCGGGGTACTGGAAGAGGGAGGTGGAGAGAGGGGATCTTGATTAAATACTTATATTTAATCAGGTGAGGTCAACCAAAAACAGCTTCATTGGCATGATTTCATTCTCAATTCGCACAGAAGACAGAACTGTGAAAACAGTAAAAAGATCAAAGTTATCCAATCATATGCATATGAAAATTTCATGTTTTTAATAGCTAGTGAGTAGACATTTGACTGGTCTTCCTTTTCGGCTTTTTACAAATAATCTTGTTTTGAATATTAACCGTACCTCGTGTGGGAAGTCGTGGCTTTAATTCACTTGGGGTTTTTGACTTCTTTGAGCAAGCTGAGTTATTTTGCCCTTCCTGCACTCAAGATTCTTGTCGGTTTTAGAGTGTTTATTTCTTTTTCCTCTGATCTGTGAGTTTATCCTACTTCAAGGTGATCAGGTCCCTCAGGAAATAGGTTTTGTTTTGCTTTTTACCAAGTTTTAGAAGTTTCAGCAAAGTATTATGTTTATGTATGAAGCTTCTCTCCCTCTTCTCTTCCATTTCTCCCCCTTACCCCAACTCCGTTTTTTATGAGTGTTGTATATGCTCCTGTCTGTAGACATGTCTGGGTGTGGTGTGCCTATAGAGGTCTAAAGTTTATATCAGTTTATATTTGTTGATCACTATCCACTTTATATTGAGACAATTCCGGGTTATGCCTATGTCGCAAAACCTGACATGAAACCTCAAGGAGCCGGAGGGTCTCTTTATTTTGAAGTCAACTCCAGTCAGCAAAGCCCCCACACTCTGACACAGCAGATGGAAGAACTTGGCCATGAACACAAAGGAGCATCATCTTTTAAAGAAAAGAAGACCATAAGCGCGGGGATGTGGGGGATGGGGCATTACATGCCTGGATGTTTCAGGATTGGGTCAGCAGGTACCGGGCAAGGCAATTTTTAAAATAATTGATCAGGTCATTGTCACCAACCCATAAATGGCTAACAGGATGTCTGTATGTACACCTAGAAACCATTAACTATACAGGAAGCCTGTAGTACATCTGGAACTTAACTGTCCTGTCTTCTGATTGGCTGCATAGAGGGTGCTTGCTCAAATTTCTGCTGACACAGCATGTACCTGGGGCTGGGTTCAGCTCCCAGTCACCAGATGCTTTAAGATGGGGACTCTTTCTTAAAGTTAGAGTCTGTGAGGCCAAGTAGGCTTTTCTACGTCCTCACATTTCTCTAGATTTATATGGGTCTGTCCAATTCCAGCCAGTGTATATATATAGCCAGCTTGCTTCTAGGGAGTCCGTTCATAGTCCAAGCATTGCAGGCAGGCAAATGCCTAGCTGCCTTTTCTGTTATTTTTAGAATTCCAAGTTCTGGGTCATTTGGTTTCCAGTGATTTATGCCTCTGATTTGTAAGCAAAGAGAGTTGTTTAAAGTCAGTTCTGATGGCACATGCTGAAAGTTCAGACTTCAATTTTCCCTCGTGTGTTCTGTGAGTATTCTATCAAAATATCAGAGCAATATGCACTTTGGAAACTTTTCTCGGAAACACATTTGTATCTGCTGGAGTCCTGAAGATACTGATGTCCTCTTCGTTAAATCTAGCAGCGGGTTGGTATGTTACCCCCAGACACTGCTGTTAGATCTTGTCATCCATGGATGATGCTTGATGGACTGGCTGTTAATCGACAAACAGTTCATCATAAACTTTTCGCTTCACCAAGGACCTTTCATTTTTTTCCAGTTGGTAATTGGTTTATTATCACTTTTTTGCTGGAGTCCTTTAATTAATCCAGTGAAATGTTAGCAGCAGTGAAATATTTCTGAAGAAGTAATAATAAAACATCAATTCTTCTATCCAAAGTTTTGTTGTTGTTGTTGTTGGATTCATCCATGTTGTAACCTAGGACTTCACTGAACCCTTTCTCCTAAACACAAACCATGCCCACCTACACTAAGTGAGGCAGCATGGTGATATATATGAGTCTATTTGCCTTCTTCTACTGGTAGCATCCCGTATGACCAGCACCATTTCCTGAAGATGATATCTATTTTCCAGTCTCTGTTTCTGGCTTCATTGCCACAAATCAGGTGTCCATATGTGATTTATGTCCCAATCTTCATTTCTACTGTATTGACCAACTATTCTGCTTTTGTCCCAAAACAGTTCTGTTTTTTTTTTGCTATAGCTTTGTAGTACTGTTTGAAGTAAAGGGATAGTAATGTATCAACAGTATTTTTTTTAATATTCAAGATTACTGTAGCTACCCTGTTTTTTTTTAGTGTTCCGTATGAAGCTGGAAATTGTCCCCTCAATATTTATGAAAAATTATGTTGGAATTTTAATGGGGATTATATTGAATATGTAGAGTATTTTTGGTAGGATCACCATTATTAGTATATTAATCCTACCTTTCCATGAGCATGGGTGATCTTTCCATATTCTGATATTGTAAAGGGAAGCTTTTTCCTTGAGAGAAGCCTTCCTGCCAGTCTGGTTCTAGAGCCGCATCAGTCCCAAATAAACACACAGGAGGCTATATTAATTATGAAGCTGTTGGCGTTGCTTGTTTCTTACTGGCTAGCTCTGACTTAAGTAATCACCCCATAATTGTTAATCTAAGTATGTCTCTTACCGGAGAAGTTTCCGGGCTTCCTACCCCATGGCGTTACATCTCGATTTTTTGTGTATTTTCCATCTTTACGTGGCTTATTTATTTATCTATTATTACCTTATTTATCTTACTTTTATTTATTTTTCTCTGAGACAGGGTTTCTCTTTGGAAATCTGCCTGCCTCTGCCTCTGGAGTAAATCCTACCAGCGTGTGCCACCACAATGCCAGCTTTTCTATTTATTTACCACTTTGCCGTCTCATTTTCTCTCTTAATCTCACGTATATTTTAAAACACACTGTAAACCTTTAGAGGTTTTGTTCATCCAAGTCTGACTTTACTGTAAATCTTTATGTTTTTCTGGCCACATGTCTTATCTGTTAAAACCTAGGCTGTTTAAACTGCCCTTTCCAAGATGGCGGCCATAAGCGTGACTCCAGCTGCCTGCTTGGAGATGGGGTCGCTGCCACTTCCAGCTATATGTACAACTTTTCAATTGTTAGCAGAGTCTCTTAAAAGAACCTTGCTGGGTTTTTTTTTTGTTTTTTTTTGTTTTGTTTTGTTTTGTTTTTTATGCCGAGTCAGGAAGACTCCTGTAAGCGAGCCACGTGAATCTCGGCTTGTCACTAGCAGAACAGAGCCCACCTGAGAAAATGCTGCTACGAAAAATCTGTGCTTCTCTCCGTTCTGTTTCTAAAATTCCTTTAAAGCTTTTGTTATTTTGCGTGGAACTTCAATCCCGCTTCTGACAACCATTATGTAATGATATTTTCTTCAATTTCTTTTCTCAGTGTCTTAAAGACTTTATTATACAAGTCTTTTATTTCCTTAGATAAAGATACCTCCAAGTGATTTTATATTATTTAAGGCTATTTTGAAAGGTGTTGTTTTTTTCTGATTTTTTTCTTAGTGAATTTGTCATTTTTATCTAGGATGGCTATGATTTTGTGAGTTATTTTTGTATCCATCTACTTTGCTGAAAGTATTTATCAGCTGTAGAAATTTCTTGATATAATTTTAGGTTTATTTGTGTATGCTAACATATCATCTTCAAATAAAGATATTTTTACTTCTTCCCTCCCATTTTTTATTAAGGAAACTTACAGCATTCTATTGTATAGAGATGGAGAGTGCACAACCTTATCTTGTTAAGATTTTAGGTTAATTGGTTTGTTTTTCTTTGCATTTAAGATGATATTGGCTGTGGACTTCCTATAAATTACCTCTATTACATTGAGGTATATCCCTGTATCACTAATCTGTCTATGGCTTTCATCATGAAGGGGGAGATTGGCTTGGTCTCATCAAATGTTCATTCCGTTTCCATTTTGTGGAATAATTTAAAGAATATTGCCATTAACCCATCTTTGTAAGTCTAGTAGAATTCTGTGCTTTAACCATCTGGCTTCAGGCATATTTTTTGTTGGAAAACTTTAGTTGACTGTTTATGTTTCACTAGTGGCTATATGTCAGTTTAAAGTGCTTATCTAAACTTGGTTTAATTTTTATGCTTTGTATATATCGAGAAAATCATTCATTTCTTTTAGAATTTCCATTTTGGTGAACTGAAGGTTTTAAAAGC